AATATTGACAGTGGAGTGTTAAAGTCTCCCACTATTATTGTGTGGGAGTCTAAGTCACTTTGTAAGTCATTAAGAACTTGCCTTATGTATCTGGGTGCTCCTGCATTGGGTCCATATATGTTCAGGATCGTTAGCTCTTCTTGTTGTATCGATCCTTTTACCATTATGTAATGTCCTTCTTTGTCTCTTTTGATCTTTGTTGCTTTAAAGTCTATTTTATCAGAGATGAGAATTGCAACTCCTGCTTTTTTTTGCTCTCCATTTTCTTGGTAAATCTTCCTCCATCCCTTTCTTTTGAGCCTTTGTGTATCCTTGCACGTGAGATGGGTTTCCTGGATACAGCACACTGATGGGTTTTGGCTTTTTATCCAATTTGCCAGTCTGTGTCTTTTGATTGGTGCATTTAGTCCATTTACATTTAGGGTTAATATTGTTATGTGTGAATTTGATACTGCCATTTTGATGCTAAGTGGCTGTTTTGCCTGTTAGTTGTTGTAGATTCTTCATTATGTTGATGCTCTTTAGCATTTAGTGTGATTTTGTAATGGCTGGTACTGGTTGTTCCTTTCTATGTGTAGTGCCTCTTTTAGGAGCTCTTGTAAAGCAGGCCTGGTGGTGACAAAATCTCTGAGTACTTGCTTATTCGCAAAGCATTTTATTTTTCCTTCACTTCTGAAGCTCAGTTTGGCTGGATATGAAATTCTGGATTGATAGTTCTTTTCTTTAAGAATGTTGAATATTGGCCCCCCACTCTCTTCTGGCTTGTAGTGTTTCTGCCGAGATTTTCTGGCTTGTAGTGTTTCTGCTGTGAGTCTGATGGTCTTCCCTTTGTGGGTGACCAGATCTTTCTCTCTGGCTGCCCTTAGTATTTTCTCCTTTATTTCAACCTTTTTGAATCTGACGATTATGTGCCTTGGGGTTGCTCTTCTTGCGGAATATCTTTGTGGTGTTCTCTGTATTTCCTGCATTTGAGTGTTGGCCTGTCTTGCTAGGTGGGCAAAATTTTCCTGGATGATGTTCTGGAGAGTATTTTCCAGCTTGGATTCATTCTCTTTGTCCCCTTCTGGTACACCTATCAAACGTAGGTTAGGTCTCTTCACATAGTCCCACATTTCTTGGAGACTTTGTTCATTCCTTTTTGCACTTTTTTCTCTGATCTTGGTTTCTCGTTTTATTTCAATCAGTTGGTCTTTGACTTCAGATATTCTTTCTTCTGCTTGGTCAATTCGGCTACTGAAACTTGTGCGTGCTTCGCGAAGTTCTCGTATTGTGTTTTTCAGCTCCTTTAATTCATTCATATTCCTAAGTTATCCATTCTTGTTATCATTTCCCCATATCTTTTTTCAAGTTCCTTAGTTTCTTTGCATTGATTTAATACGTGTTCTTTTAGCTCACAAAAGTTTCTCATTATCCACCTTCTGAAGTCTAATTCCATCATTTCTTCACAGTCATTCTCTTTCCAGCTTTGTTCCCTTGTTGGTGAGGAGTTTTGGTCCTTTCTAGGAGGCGAGGTGTTCTGGTTTCGGGTGTTTTCCTCCTTTTTTCGCTGGTTTCTTCCCATCTTTGTGGATTTATCCGCTTGTCGTCTGCATAGTTGCTGACTTTTCGATTGGGTCTCTGAGTGGGCACCCAGATTGTTGATGATGAAGTATTTCTGTTACTTGGCTTTCCTTCTACCAGTCTAGCCCCTTCACTGTACGACTGCTGAGGTCCACTCCAGGCCCTGCTTGTCTGGGGTGCACCTCTAGCAGCTGTGGCACAGTGAGGGATGCTACCAGTTTCTTTTTCTGCTATCTTTGTCCCAGGATGATGCCTGCCAAATGTCAGTCTTTTGGATATAGAGGGGTCAGGGAGCTGCTTGAGGAGACAGTCTGTACTTTATAGGAGCTCAATTGCTGAGCTGTGAGCTCAGTTGTTCATTCAGGGCTGTTAGGCTGCTATGTTTGATTCTGCTACAACAGAGCTCATTAAAAAACCCTTTTTTTCTCAAATGCTCTGTGTTGGGGGGTTCGGGTTTTATTTTTGGATGTCCTCTGAGGTGTCCTGACCAGCTAGGAGGCAGACTAGCCACTGTTTGCCTGCCGAGGCTCCGCCCTGTTGTTGTGTGGTTCGCCCTGTTGCTGCAGGCTCTGCTGTTCTGCTGTGGTCTCCGCCATGCCCTGCGGCAGAGTATCTTCATTGTAATGGGTTGCCTCAGCAATGGCAGGCTGCGACAGCAGTGGGCGTGTATCTCAGTAGGGATGGGTTGCCTCGGCAATGGCTGGCTGCATCAGCAGTGGGCGTGTATCTCAGTTGGGGCCTGTTGCCTCGGTAATGGTGGACGCCCCTCCCCCACAGAGCGTCTCGGATCGTCCGCCTGGGGATTGTTTGAAATTGCGGTTTTGTTCGTCCCACTGGGCTACCCCGAACACTCTGTCCCTGCAATCTCCTGGGCTGGCCTCCTGTCCAAGTCTCGTTCAGTCTCAAGTCCAGCCCTCTCAAGTCTCAGGTTGCCGGTTCAACAGGGCACCCGGACAAGCGCGCCCTGTGGGGAGCGCTGGGGGGGGGCCGGCCACCGCCACCCCAGCTGCCGGCTTTGCCAGGCAGAGGTACTGCCTGGCGTCCTGTGTCTCCTTTATACTTGGGAGTTTCCCCGTTCTGTGGGCAACAAAGATCAGTCTGGAAATGCAGCTCTGACTCACCTCTCCGCAGATTCAACGAGAGCTCCAATCCTGGGTTGTTCTCACAGTGCCATCTTCAACATAATCACTTCTAAGAGAAGTTAATAACTTTTAAAAAATTAGCTAAATTAACACTTAGAAATGTTTTTAATTCCAGATGAATATTGTGATACATGCTTTTCATTGAAGTTCTACTGAAAGGAAGAGAAAAATAATTTTATATACCATGAGAAATTGACTAAAATTTATATATTGCTTGTTTTAACTAATTTCAAGTGAATATTTTTGGTGGTAGCTACTTCATAGGCATGTGCTCTCTATATGGAAAGTGATTTTTTTTCTTTAGTTTCTTCTACATGAATGTTACTGAGAAATGAATTAATTTATGGTCATAAATTACTAAAACATAAATTAACTGATCTTTTTGGTCACTCTTTAGTTGAGCAATAGTGAAGTTAGTAGGAACAATACTTTGTCTCAGCAGCTACATTTGGGTTCAAATCACCTTCCTCATAAAAGTAATATTCAATAATAACTTCCTGAATATTTTGTCTCCAGCATCAAGTCACTTGTGTGCTAAACAGCCTGTAAGTAAATAAATATTGCCACATAACAACTCATCTACTTTCTTTAGTGTTAATCTGCCACCTGATAGTTAATTTTAAAGGGAGGAGTTAAAATTTCTATTTCTATAAATAATAAAATTATTGCCTTTCTCATGACTTTTTGTTTAGCTGTTTCAAGTGGAGTGGATGATACAACAAATAAACATGTTAATAAATATTTTAGTGAATTTTTTTTAGGTAATCTGGAGAACAAGTTTTACTACATGAGCTTTTTTTCTATGCATTCATTTTCTTTAAGTCAGCAAAAAAATATAAAGCCTTATTTTTACCTCTTTTTAAAAACGATGAGTTCATGTCCTTTGTAGGGACATGGATGAACCTGGAGACCATCATTCTCAGCAAAATGACACAGGAACAGAAAATGAAATACCGCAGGTTCTCACTCATAGGAGGGTGTTGAACAATGAGAACACATGGACACAGGGAGGGGAGCACTACACACTGGGGTCTGTTGCGGGGAATAGTGGAGGGACAGCAGGGGGAGGGGAGTTGGGGAGAGATAGTATGGGGAGAAATGCCAGATATAGGTGAAGGGGAGGAAGGCAGCAAATCACACTGCCATATGTGTACCTATTCAACTATCTTGCATGTTCTTCACATGTACCCTAAAACCTAAAATGCAATAAAAAATAGAAAAAAAAATCTTTCAGAACTTCTCTTTGTCCTAAAAGATCATGAAACTTTATTAGGAATTCTAAAACCTGAAATGAACTGTGTTAGCCTTGGCTGCTTTAAAGAGGTATTCTTAAAATTTTTGTGGGGCACATACTCATTATGGCTAACAGCAGTATTTTCAGTGTTCAGGAATGTTTATGGAATCACAGCATGATAGAGCTGGAAAAGTTACTCCAGATTATCTTCAGCTCCTCATTTTGTGGCTAAAACACACAGGCCAAGAGATGTTAATTGAATTTCCCAAGATTCTGAATAAAATGCAATTAAGTTAAATTAATCCAAATTACCTAAATTAGTTCAATTGGATATCTCTTCCTGATACTCCTAATAGTTTTTTGCCCTACTTAATGTTTGCCAAACGTTTTCTGTAAAAGCCCAGATAGTAAATACTGTAGACTTTTCAGGCCACAGGATGTCTGTAGCAAGGATTCATCTTTGCTACTGTGGTGTTCAAGAAGCCTGTTTGGGCTGGTGAGGTGATTTATGCCTTTAATCCTATCACTTTGGGTGGCCAAGGCAGGAGGATCCCTTGAGCCCAGAAATTTGAGACCAGCCTGGACAACATAGTGAAACTTCATCTTTACAAAAAATGTAAAAATTAGCTGGGTGTGATGGCATGTGCCTATAGTCCCAGCTACTCCAGAGGCTGAGGTGAGAGAATCTCTTGAGCCCAGATGGTTGAGGCTCCAGTGAGCTGAGGTTACCCCATTGCATTCCAGCCTGGGAGACAGAGGGAGACTCTATCTTAACCAACCAACCAACTCACCAACCACACAAACCAAGTATCCCAATAGACAACATGTAAATGTGAGAACTTGTCTGTGTTCGCCGGTCATCTCAAGAGGTTTTCCTGAACAATGTGCTCTCCTAGAAGATCATATTGTGGCCTGTTGTGTATTTAGTCCCTATTGTGGAATGTGCCAAGATCACCATTATTCACATTTGCAGAAAAAAAGTGGACTAGGCTGTGTTGCCCTAGTCAATTGTAAAATATTCATTATATATGCACTGAATTATTCAACCTTCTTTTTTTTAAAAGTTTCGTTGCAAAACTGACAAATGTATTCCATTCTGGTGGAAATGTGACACCGTGGACGACTGTGGTGATGGATCTGATGAACCAGATGACTGCCGTGAGTACATTGGCAAAAGCTGGAATTTATAATTTAGAGTTCCTTATATCCCAGACCTGGAAATTGAAGCTATACGAAAAGTCCTGGCTTCTGATACTCTCCCAACAATGAAATAGAAAGGTTATGTATGTCGGTATTTAATAATAAAATAAAAATTATTGCAATGCCATGGTTATCTTTCTAATAACTGTTACATTTATAATGGCACCGTCAGCCATTTGTGTTAGAATGTGTATCTTTCTCAAATTTGATTACTTGTGGAATAATGATATTACTTCATATAGTGATCAGTAGGGTAATAAACAGCATTAATTTGACATAATATGTCACCAAGTTAGAAGTAAGATTGGGCAAGCTTTCAGAACGTCACTCGATGACTAAAATATTATCTTTAAGAAATATAATCTCTCAACTTTACTGTCAGCATCGAAATACTGAAATTTCTTAAAAAGTCTGATTTTTTCCAATGTAAAGCATTAGATTGCCATTAGGCAATTGAGTATGTTCTTAGCAATTGCTCTAAAGTGACTACAAATTATGTCCTGACATTTGACTGTGATTGGCGTGGTCAGCTGCTGCTGTTTTAACAATTGGTAACTTTGCTTGTAATGGGACATCAGCAGACTTTTCCTTGATAGCCTTTTGTAGTTCACTCCATAGGTCACTCCAATACTTCACTGTCAGGTTGAAGATGCTTGTAGTCAATCATGATAATTCCCTCGACATCCCAGTATATGGTTGCCATGATTTGGCCTTGACAATTGAGTTCAAAATCCTTACGCTTGCACTGTAAAAAGACTGAAAAAGCTAGCTATATTCTGCTGTAGAGCTTGCCGCCACTTTATTATAAAGCTTTTTCAAATTTAGGATTTCTAAATAGTTGCTTAGATAGGCTGTATTCCATCTCTCTGGTCATACCCAAGTCTGTCACACAATTGAGGTTGTTTCACATAGTTTATGTGCTTGAAACCAGGAGGTAATCAAATTAGTAAAAAGGAAAAATGTTATAAAAGTCATTGCTTTTCTATAATCCTTATGTTTCTGAAAGATCCACTGCTTTTTGATACTTTAAGTATAGGTTTTATTTTTACTATGATAGACAGCATACAAAGAGTAGTATCTCTGTAGGATAGGTATACTATTAAGCCTGAATTATTCTTTTCAAAAAGTTTATTAAGTTAAAAGGAATATAAAGGGAAGAATAAATTATTTGGGTGACCTTACTGAGATTCTCATTAAGAGAAAGTTATTACTTTCCCCACAAACGTAAATTTTCTATGATAATAGTAAAAAAAAAACTAAGTACAACTTATATTTGTAATTCTTAGAAATAAACAAGAATGAATATATTAATTTAGTCATTTGATTAAGGAAATGACCTTTCCTGTCTAGATTTCACTGTTCTCTGAGGAAATTTCACTATAACGACCGAGAGCTCCTGACTTCTAGTTGTAATTTTGACTGAAATTTCACACTGGACCATATTGATGTGAAAAATTAACTACACATTCAACTACTCTCAGAATATATGGTGATCAAATATTACTTTGGTGTCTTTTTAGGCACTGATATCTAAGAGACATCTGTTATCTAAGAGCTTCTCTATGATCCTCGTTTTGGTTAAATACATTTGCAAATATTTTCTTCCATTTCATAGATTGTCTCTTTACTCTGTCAATTGTTTCCTTTTCAGTACAGGAGATTTTTAATTTGATGTAATTACATTTGTCCACTTTTTATTTTGTTTCCTGTGTTTTTGGAGTCATATCCACAAATGTTTTACGCAGACCAATATCATAGAAATTTCCCTTTATATTTTCTTCTAGTAATCTTAAGTGTTTTTATTGGTGGCACCATCTCTGTGAGATTTTAGTATAGCAAATAAGCTTTTATTTGTAGTTGATGGGTTTACAGCGTTGAATATCTGTAGGCATGACACGTTACTTGAGAGTCGTGATGAGGTAGAAAATTATATGCAAGAGTCTCCGGAATGTTTAGGTTTCACATTCAGGTAGATGCATCATCAATACCTGCAGATGATGAGCTGCTCACAATACTTATAACTTCACCTGAGAAGGCAGGAAAGCCTGATTTCAGGGTTCCATACTTCCAAACGTACGTAATGTTATTTATATAAATGTAGTTAAGAGTGCTGCATCAAAAAATCTCAGGCATCACAAGTTTATAATAACCCTTCCCTTCCCTTCCCTTCCTTTCCCTTCCCTTCCCTTCTTTCTTTTTTTCCTCCCCTCCTTCCTTCCTTCCTCTCTCTCTCTCTCTCTCTGTCTCTCTCTTTCTTTCTTCCTTTCAACAGAGTCTTGCTCTTGTCCCCAGGCTGGAATGCAATGTTGTGTTCTCAGCTTACTGCAACCTCCACCTCCCGGCTTCAAGCGATTCTCCTGCCTCAGCCTCCCAAGTAGCTGGTATTACAGGCACCTGTCACCATGCCTGTCTAATTTTTGTATTTTCAGTAAAGACAACGGAGTTTCACCATGTTGGCCAGGCTGGTCTGGAACTCCTGACTTCAGGTGATCTGCCCACGTTGGCCCTTCAAAGTGCTGGGATTACAGGCATGAGCCACCACGCCCAGCCAATAATGTTGCTTATAATACTCTAATACAATTAAAATTATTCTATAGACAAATTTGAAGATCGAATGGGCTTCCAAGTTATTTCCAAACACTCCTTTAATAGTTGCAACCATTTTTCTGGCAAGGGTTGTTTTGATAGCTAAGGAATATTAAACAAAATTGATACAAAGCAAAATGAAATAGAGAATAGGCACATGCTTAAAGTATGAGAAAATTGTGTCATTCAGTTTAAATATTTAGTATGATTAGTCGACAAACGTTATAGAGTGCAAGCAAACAGCTTTCAATATTTTAGAACTTTTACTTCAATGAAGCAAAGCATATATTGAATTATTTTTAAAAGAATGTTTATATTTTATTTAATATTATAATATAAAATAATTTTATTTAACATTGTAATTATAAAAGCATAATTTATTTCTCAAATAAGTTTAAAATATCATTTATTAGTATTTGATTCACTGTTTTGAGCTAATACATATAGTATTATTAATCTCAAAATCAGTTATATGCTCTAAAATCATTAGTCAAAAGATAAGTGTTTTACTGCAAACAACATAGTAGATTTGAACTCAAAGTCTGACACTTAAAATTGTGCATCTTTAGATGAGTTGTCAACATTCAGTAAGTTTAGTTTACTCATTGCTAAAATATTGATGCCAAAGTGACAATGTTATGATGAGATTAAATTAGTAACTGTATGTGAAGGGGTCTAGCCCAGTGCCTGATACATATTAGATCATCAGTAGATCCTGTCTTATTATTATTGTTCTTTATATACACTCAAATAATATAAGATAAAATGCATTATCACTTGTGAGTTGTTACAATATATATAGTATATAAAATATTTATTATTTATAAAATATTGTTCTCTTGCATAATAATAGGATTATAGTAATGAATATCAATAAATCTGATTTAAAATGTGGTAGATATAGAAAGCAGTTGCTTTACATTGTGCTGGAGAATATGTATTGTGGGCCAGGCACAGTGGCTCACACCTGTAATCCCAACACTTTGGGTGCACGAGGTAGGTGGATCACCTGAGGTCCGGGGTTTGAGACCAGCCTGGCCAACATAGTGAAACTTCATCTCTACTAAAAATACAAAAAAATTGCCAGGCATCATAGTGGGCACCTGTAATCCCAACTACTCAGGAGGCTGAAGCAGTAGAATTGCTTGAACATGGGAGGCAGAAGTTGCAGTGAGCTGAGATTCCACCACTGCGCTCCAGAGTAGATGATGGAGCAAGACTCTGAATAAGAGAGAGAGAGAGAGAGAGAGAGAGAGAGAGAGAGAGAGAGAGAGAGAGAGAGAGAGAGAGAGAGAGAATATGTACTGGGGACAAATCATACACACCATAGGCCACCAAGTGATCAAGGAGAAATTATTTCTTAAAAACTGATATTGGAATAACAGTATTTGTTTCAATAAATTTCATTCTGCAAGTTAACCTCTCAGTATCACTTCATTGAAATGTGGATACTTTTATGTTTAATTTTAAAAAAATATTTATGTGTTATTGATTCCTGCCCTCTAGAGTATGGTTTATTAAATGTTACCTGGAGGCCATTTGAATTGCTCAAAGTATAGCTAAACATTTTAGTCTAATTGCTATCAAGTTGAGAGACATTCATTCATATTGTGTTCCAGGGCATATTTATTATAGTAAATATATCAAATGTGAGAAACTTTCTGTTTAAGAAGTTGTGAGTTAAGATTGCTTTTCTACAATATCTATGCTATCTCCTCTAGCTGAATTTAAATGTCAGCCAGGCCGATTTCAGTGTGGGACTGGACTCTGTGCTCTACCTGCTTTCATCTGTGATGGAGAGAATGACTGTGGAGACAATTCTGATGAACTTAACTGTGGTAGGTGACTAAATTCCTAACTAATGAATGTAAGTCTGATTCTCAACTGATAAGTCTGTGTGATTTAAATTCAGACACATTATTTTTTCTCTCTCTATGTTCTAGATACGCATGTCTGCCTGTCAGGCCAATTCAAGTGTACCAAGAACCAGAAATGCATCCCAGTAAACCTAAGATGTAACGGGCAAGATGACTGTGGTGATGAAGAAGATGAAAAAGATTGTCGTAAGTCACCTCAAAATGCTCTGTATTGTCTTAATTTTGACTCCCAACTAAAGTAAGGCTAAAAATTATTACTATATTTTATAAATTTATACAATGTAGATAAATTCAAAAGAAATTATGGTCAAATAATTAGAAATAGGTGTCAACTGGGATGGATTATTTCAGAAGCTCTAAATAAATATATAGAGAAAATGAAAATATGAGCAAGTTTACTTTAAAATCTATGTAGAAATTATGACAAACATGAACAACAATTATTCATCTACATCACCCTTAAGAGAAGCATCAAATACAACACAGAAGTTGATTATGTTTTTTTCATTTATTTTTGCCCATATTACGTGGATACAGGTAATTTACTTCTGTTGATTAATTAGTGTCTTGAAATTAAGTACTTTTTATTAGAGAGTTTTTTTCTCCATGAAATACGTGTTGCACTCATGAAGAGAAATACAAAATCTGGGCAAAATAATCTGACAAAAGTCAAACTTGTAAAAAATTGTAAATAATGCTCCATTTAATATATTTTAACAAACTACTTGAAAGAATAATAGTAAAATATTTGTCTCTTTTCATCTCATATTTACATCTTCCATCAAAACTCAAATTATATTAAATGGAAGGCAAAACAGTTTATACCATATACATATATATGCACATAGGCTTGCGTGCACGTGCTTGCACACACTCACACGTGCAGAGTATGTGAACAATGGAGCACCTGTCAAGTTTCAGGGTTTCAACTGAACCGCTGTCACCATTTCTGTCCTGCTGCAGTTTTATTTTATTCCCCTAAAACTTTTATCAGTAAATAATGTGCAGTCATCCAGCAATATGATTAAGATGGTGCATTCAGAATAAAGTCAGTACCAGTTCTTTATGGTTAGCCATTCCAGAAACTGATCCATTAAACTGACTAGGATTTGTGATGCAGTTTACAGCCTTAGGTGGATGTTCTGTTTTTCAAAAACTCAACACAATTCCTAGACACTTTGATAAAAATTTGTACTTTTATTTTCTTACTCACTTAATGCCTTCCAATTTCAGTATCTTTTCATTTATTAAAATGCATATCTATGAATTCTTTTTTTTTCCTGAAAAAACTTATTTTGAAAGGCCCCACATTTTTAATTGTTAAAATTAGTATTAAAATATCTAACCAATAGTTTTTTCAAAACTCTGATATTTATCAGTGTATCACTGCAAAAATGTGTTTCCTCTATTTTTACTGGAGAGGAGGATATCAGCAGTACCTTATAAGGAATTAAAAGTTAAAATTCCTCACTGTCAGAGTCCCGTTCATTAAAACGCAATACATTTTTTGATAAATTGTCTTAAACATTTGTCTGTAAAATTTGCTTTTCATAAATAATATATCTGTTCTTCAAAGCTACATTTTTAATAGCAGTTTTCTTCTTAAGCTGAAAACAGCTGTTCTCCAGACTATTTCCAGTGTAAGACTACGAAACACTGCATTTCCAAGCTGTGGGTTTGTGATGAGGATCCAGACTGTGCAGATGCATCAGACGAGGCCAACTGTGGTGAGTGTTTGTGACTGTGGGTCTTGTCTCTCTGTGTTTGGGTCATCTGCGATGATGACAGTGAAACGAATTTGAACACAATTTTGATGAAACTAAGGTCTTACCTGAAAAGGTTTTGTCTCTGTGTTCACAGATTGGTAACAACCTAGTTTAGTTACTTTACAAAAAGCAGCGAGTGATAAGATGGAAGAGTAAGTATTGCTTAAGATAACCCAAAACTTTATGAAAGATAGACCAAAGAGGTAGTATAAGACCATTATCTTTTTCTATTAGAGTGTGCACATGATAGTATTAGCATCTAGTGACTAGAAATAAGAAAACACTATATTCATATCATTCTAGAATTCATTTTGTTTTTGCTTAAATCCCCAAGATTCTGTATTCAATGATTATTGTATATCATTCTTTAATACAATACAATGGGAATAAAACTATAATAAAGAGCATCTGTTCTGTATTGGTAGATGACAGTGATCATTTAAGTCAGCATTTACTTCTGAACATTAATATTTTCACTTAAATAAATTTTATTTACAATTATTATTCCTTAATTAACATTGCAGAAATGGAGAATATGTTTATTTTGTTTAAAGTATTTTATTCTATCTTAAAGCTGTTAACACTGAGATAGAAATCAAGAGCATTTGCTACATGGAATTCATTTTATCAGCATTTATTAACATTAATTGACCCTGTTCTGTAGACAAATATGCCAATTTGGCGTTGGTGGATAAGCAAAACTCATTTTATCTATTAATTTATTAGAAAAGACAATGTTTGTACAAACTAGGACTCCCAGACTTCCTAGAAGTGTGCTAAATGCATTTGCTAGATTATACAGTACTTTCATTGAACTTTTATGGGGAAAATGAAAATAATGAAAAACCTTTACGTGCTCTGAAATTTCATTTATATTGAACAGCACTTATGAGCCACCTGTATAAGTTCTGGCAATAGCAGCATGTCTTTAAGTGATTTTCCTCATACTATCTTCCATATAATTGTGTCTTTAGAATATGCAACCAGTATCACAGCATCATAAAACTACCATTTACCACTTTGTACGATTGGTTTTCAAAATCAATTCACAAAGCCTCAAACCACATTCATCACCAGTTTGTCCATAGCAATTACTAAGGACTTTTGCAGGCTAATTTATATTACTGGCTAGTTTGCTCTGTTGTCTTTTGCATTTTCACTTACCATACCAAAGTGGAATAATGACTTTTTACCTCTGAACAATTTCTGGACTGGAGTGTTATTTCTATAATTTTCTCTTGGTTTTTCCTCACATTGGTATGATTTAACTCTTTTTTGGCAGATAATAAGGTTCAAATCAAATATTATCAATCACCATAGTAACAACAATGACTAATATTTAGTTGGCAGAAACGATAGGGCCCGAGAAATAGACTAAAAGCTTTATAGTGATTATCTTTCATAATCTGTTTATTGTCCCTATTTCATTGATAAGGAAGGTGGGCACAAAGAGGTGCTGTAACGTCTAAAATCCCATAGCTAGCAAGTCCTATAATTGGGACGCGCCTCCAGGGTTATTTGACACCAATGTATCTGCTTTAAACTTCTGTGGATATAGCATAAATACATTTGATTCTTTCCACGTGAAGACAGAAAGATTTTAAATCTTTTCAGTAGTGAGGTGGAATAGGATTCTCCCAGATACAAGTATTGCTGTAAGTTCCAGACCAGTTTATATACATACATGCACATATATATGTACACATACAGAAGGGCCAAGAATGGAGGGTTGTCATCTGATTTGAATTAAACAATTTTATTGAGTGCAGGTGCTAATTTAAAGAAAATTCTACATCATGTCTAAGTCTAGCATTGCACATGCTTATTTTGGAAAGAGATAAGTCACCACTTTTTTTTGTCCTCAATTAAATATAGAAATATCACATATTTGTGCTAATTCTTTTAACACTCCCTGGGATGCTTCCCCTTCTAGTGTTTTTATTGCATGGGAAAGAAACATAAACACTTTGCAAAGGTTCACTGTGTTAGGCCATTGGACTCAGTTACGTGTTTCTTTATAGCTAAGAACAGATCTCGTCTAGACGCATGGGTGTGTTTCACTATTTCACATGTCCCATGTCCTCATAACTTAGCAGGATGTGAGTAGGAATGCATTAAGTGTGGAATGAGTGTCTAACCTATTCCCTCTTGCGGAATCTCGATTTGGAACCCATTTTCATTTCAGTTTGTGTCCACACTTTTCTTAACCCGTGCTACATTTAAGGGGAGATTCTCTTATGCTCTTGGAGTTCATCTAGTTGTTACCTCTTACATCCCAGCACCAGTATTTGTATTTATCTATAGTTCCATTATCAATCATATTTTTTTCAATTCTGAAGTCCTAGCATTGTAGTTTGTTCTACTTTGACATATTCCAATTGAAACTGTTTGTTTTGTTTTGATTTAAATTATACAAAGAAAACAATGTAGAAGCAAGAGAAAGAGAGAGAGAGGGGCACTATGAAAAAACGAAGCAGAGTACAGCACATACATAATATACATACAGTGTAGGGAATTAAAATGATAATCATTGCAAATATTTTTCTAATTCTATTACTGAATTTAACCTGGCATAATATTTTGAGTCCATGAGTACTCACAATTTTAACAAGGAATGTTCAATCTATGGCAAAATTGTAGGCTAATCTCGAGTTTAAGGAGGCTTTGAATAGATGTAAATTAAATATAGTTTAGGAGTCTATGCTTAATAAATTAGTCTTGGTGAGACTTTGGATATAAATTTTAAAAATTAAATTAACTGTATAACTTTCCATTTTATTAATGCCTAGTTTTTGAGATGGCTAAATTTATGAATATGTAAAAATCTACATTTGGCACATTAGGATTAAATTAATAAAGGTGTTTAAAGGACATCTTGGAGTTCTATTTTTGCATAAGTAAAGATTTAAATCTATGTTAGCCTCGTATTCCTGACAAGATAGTTACAAATTCATTTTGTGAGTTGTTAATAGTTCGTGTAAAATTACTTCTATTTGCTTGAAGGTGTCTGCTCTTTTAAACTTTATACCAAGAGAAAAACATGCTTTTAAAAGTGTACATAAATACAATTATATTAGACTGTAGAGGCTGACTGCTCTTGTAGGGCTGTTTCACTGTTTATTACAATCTTGGGCAAATACCAGATTTGAATGCCTAACCAAATTAAGTAGAATATCCCAATTATAGCGGCTTCAGAATATTTATTTACAATTTAAACTTCAAACTTTCTTCACCTTCAGCCTACTCTATTCTATTTGAAGAACTAATCAAGGATTTAAAAATTTAACAGATCTATACTAGAGTCATATGTCTGCTTTGTAATCATAGTTGAAGCTTTTTTACAATGTGACTCATAAGATGATATTAGAATCTGGATCTTTCTATTATGTTCTGTTTTCCTAGTTTACAGTTTAGTTTCTTAGTTCTCTCAATGCTTATAAAATAATTTTTTATCAGTTATTGTCTGTCTGGGCTCCTGTAGTCAACTCTGCACTCATGCCCCAGCTTTCTAGCACCCACCATTGCTCTGCCATGTCGCTCCTAACTGTTGTCTGCTTATTTTCCTGCAATCTTTAATCTAATCTAGAATTCTGTTATCAAAAAGGATGTTGCCTCTAAGTTGGTTCAGCCTCATTTGCTGCTTTTGTGCAATCTTGGTTTATTACCTGCTGTTTGGTTAATGATCTTTAATTAATGTGTTAGCTAACTAACTAGAGCTTGTGAAGAGAAATTGAACTTCCTATAGTATGTATGTGCTTTCTACAACCTGCCTTTCTAACATGACACTGAACACATTCACCCCAAAAGAATATATCAACATGTGCTTTTATTTTCCTTTAAATATGTGATTAGGAAATTTGAAACAGACTACTCAAGCTATAGTTATAAGCTATAAGAATGCTACTAAAGCAAGTATGTGTTACATTATAACATATTTCACGCTGTATGTGGTGGCTCATACCTATAATCTCAGCAGTTTGGGAGGCCAAGGTGGGAAGATTGCTTGAGACCCAGAGTTCAAGACCAGCCTGGGCATCATAGTGAGATCCCATCGCTACAAAAAAATGTATTTAAAAATTACCACCTGTAGTGTGAGCTCCTCTGGAGGCTGAGGATGGAGTTCCGTTAAATGAGAAGATTGAGGCTGCAGTGAACCATGATTGCACCACTGTAGTCTAGCCTGGATGACAGGGATAGACCCTGTCTCAGAAAAAAACCAGAAAGGAATATTTCACACTTATAGACTTGTTATATAACAAGTATCATATCATATAAGTTATATAACAAGTATCATATACTATTTTTAACATTTGTGGAAATTTTAAAACATTTAAATTTCTATAATAACAACTAAAGTCTACCTCTTCCCTTTCCCCATTTTTCTTTCCTCTGTCCTGAAGTGATCATGTATTATTCACATTTATTATTTTTTACTTGTAGCATATAAATATACAACTATGTAAATATACTTACATACAAATTTATCTGTACTATGTAGCTATACTTTTTAAATATATGTCCATTTAGAATAACATTTAGAAAATGTTAGTTCCATGATTTCATGATAAACTATGGGGGAAAAGCTTTGTGCTTTTATATACAGTAAAGATAATGTACTTGAATTTCCTGTCTTGGGAAATGGTCCACACATACAAATATTTTGTTAGGACATCTGTGTAGTATTTTTAATCAGTATCTCCCAAATTTAAATATGGGTTATAAATACATATATATTTTGACTAGCAAACAGATTAACATCCTCAGTGCCTCTCTCCTGTGTTGCTGTGAGTTGTGAATGAAGCGGGTGTGCTGAAGGGTGTTGTTGAAGGAGGCTGCTGGGAGAAAGATTTTGAATTTTCTACCATATGGCATCACAGTATCTCTCTATCTAGATATTTAGAAGCATGGGATTATGCACCTTCATGTTAGCAGCTGGAAAGGAGAAAGGACCTTCTGTCTAC